GTGCACACGTGTATACATGTCTGTTCCTGAGCTCCTGATTCTGTTCTAGTGGTCAGTTTGTTTATCCCTCCATGAGCACCGCAATGATTTACTCACTATGGCTTATGCTAAGCCTTGATACCTGTTTTCCTCCTATTCGTTAGTATTCTTTTACAAATGTGTTGTCTTTGTCTGGGTGGTTTTTAATTTCCTCTTGCGCTTCTCTGCTTACTTTAGGGTTCAATTTTTCATTCTGTGGTAGCCCTTCTTCAATGCTCCCCGTGAGTGGTAGACTCTGCATCTTTGTCTGGAAATGTCTGAATTTCAACTCTGGTCTCAAATGATTATTTATCTGTGTTGGCATTTTATGCCGACAGTTTAGTTATGTTCCTCCAGTCCACTTAAGATACTATTCTTTAGTTCTGGCACCTGAGGGATTTCTACTTTAGAGCTCAGCTCTATTAAAAGAACCTTCATTAAACTATATCTAGCCTTTTTGGTGTTTGTCTCAGGAGCCATTCATGTTATCTAATCTAGCATACTAGTAGAGCCAGAAATCTAAGGATCCCCTTACCAGATCTTAGCCAGGTGCCCTGTTGCAAGGAGACAAAATGCAAATAATGGTGGGACTTTAAAGACTAAGGGAAGCTTCTTCATCCTTTCTTTAAATCACATTTCCATATTCACTGATATATTTCAGATATGTCTTTTTATTTCCATGTGTATTATATTCCACTTACGAAACAATTTCTGGGTATTTGGTCAGTGGCATGTGTTGACTATCCACAGCATTGAAAGGTGAGAAAGTGGAATGCTTCAGGACAAGGTTCCCTCCACCCCTACCCTCGGCCCCCTGTGCACATCCCCTTCATAGCTTTCTGACGTTGGTGTTATCCTTGTGTCTTGATCCAAGTAGACCATTAAATCTCTTCAGAAATAGGAGGGGGTTCTACTGCACTTTGTGTCTCTACAACCCGTAACAACGACTGGCACATAGGAAGAAGATTTTACATGCTTGCCGAATCAAGGACTAATACAGAGGCAGGTAGAAGCAACAGGGATAAACCAACACAAATCAAGCAAGAGTCATAGAACAATCATGTATATTTATCTACAAAGAGTTACGTCAGTTGGGGAAACTCTAACTGCTTGAGTTTATATGTGGATTTTTTTGAAGAAGAAGGATATTGAAACTAAGATACTTGTTTTGCTAAGAAAGAAAATGTACAATTGTCCATAAAGAGAGAAATGTATTAAGGGAGTGACTTGCAGCAGAAAGGAGAGTCTGGTTCAGAGGACTGGAGCAGTATCAGAAAAAAGAGCCTGGTAAGAAGTGGGGCATTTCCAAACTCCAGAGGGTCGCAAAATGAACACCTACTTAGGAATCCTGATTTGATTCACCTAGAAAGTTGAATCTGAGAAGTGTCATCAGCATAACAACTATAAGAATGCACTTAAATATTATATAGATATTATGAATACACATTATTTGAGAACCACCCATATTGTTGCATATATCAAGAGTTCATTATTTTTTATTGCTGAGAACTATTCCACTGTATGAATATACCACATTTTGTTTGTTCATGATTTTGTTTGTTATGGATATTGGATTATTTCCATTTTCTGGTTGTTACACATAAACCTGGACAAAACACTCATGTACAAGTTTTTGTACGGACTTCCATTGTTATTTTATTTAATAAATATCTGGCAGTGAGATGGTTGGATCACATGGCAGGAGTTTATTTACCTTTTTAAGAAAAATGCCAAAGCATTTTCCGGATAGTGGTACCATTTTACATTTCAACCAGCAAGGTACGAGTGTTCCAATTCCTCCATATCCTCACCAACATGTGCAATGATCAGTGTTTTTAATTTTTACCAGTGTAATATGTATGCAGTGATATCTCATTGTGGTTTTAATTTGCATTCCCTAATCATTAATGATGTAGAGTATCTTTTCAAATGCTTATTTGCCATCTATATATCTTCCATGGGAAAGTATGTATTTAAATATTTTGCCCATTTCTAATTGAATTTTTTTGTTTTCTTATTATTGAGTTTTGAGAATTCTTTATATTATGAACACGTCTTTTTTCTTTTTTTGAGTGAGGAAGTTTGGCCCTGAGCTAACATCTGTTGCCAATCTTCCTCTTTTTGCTTGAGGAAGATTGCTGCTGAGCTAACATCTGTGCCAGTCTTCCTCTACTTTATGTGGGGCCCCACCACAGCATGGCTTGATGAGCAGTGCTAGGTCCGCACCCAGGATCCAAACCTTCAAAACCCAAGCCACTGAGACAGAGCTCACGAACTTAAACACTATGCCACTGGGCTGGCCCCAGAACACAAGTCTTTTTTCAGACACATGCTTAAAAATATTTTCTCCAGTATGTGGCTTGTCCTTGTTTCTATTAATACTGTCTTTTGGAGAGGGAAAGTTTTGCATTTTGATAAAGCCCAATTTAAATTTATTAGATTTTGGGGTTTTTTTACTTTTATGGATAGTGATTTTGCTGTTGTACCTAAGAAATCTTTAGGCAGGCAAACTCACAAAGATTTTTCTCTTGTCTTTTCTTCCAAAAGTTGTGTAGTTTTAGATTTTACGTTTAGGTCTATGATACATTTTGAATTGACTGTTTCACATGATGAGATTACATGGATCAAAATACACTTTTTTGGTTATGGAGATCTAATTGTTCCTGTACCAGGTGTTGAAATATCTACATTGTTTTAATACATAGACTTTTTCTTCTAGCTTTTTGGTTCAGTTAAACATACAAATCTTTCTTTCATTTCCTCTTTTGCTTTTATGCTTAGAAAAGCCTTCTCCTGCCAGGGATCAAAGAAATCATATTTTCTCCAGGGACTTTCAGATTTTTCTTCGTCTTTTTTTGCATTCCGTGTTTTAATCCAATTGGAATTTATTGTGGGAGACAGTGAGGTTTCTTTTTTTCTTTTTTTTTTTTTCTTTTTCTGCTTTATCTCCCCAAATCCCCCCAGTACATAGCTGTATATCTTAGTTGCAGGTCCTTCTAGTTGTGGCATGTGGGATGCCGCCTCAACGTGGCCTGGCGAGAGGTGTCATGTCCGCGCCCAGGATCCAAACCAGGGAAACCCCGGGCCGCTGCAGTGTAGCGCAAACTCAACTACTCGGCCACAGGGCCGGCCCCTGAGGTTTCATATATATAAATTATATATACATTATATATATATAATTGTTTAATTAATTAGAACCCCACAAGATTCCTTACACCAAAATGGTTCCAGTTGGTTTTAAAGGTTGCATGGAAAAACTGAAACTGAAAGAACATGAGCAAGTTTTGGTTACGGTGAGATGGAATTGAGACGTGAGCTATTGCTACATAAACAAGATGTAAAAATTGTAACAAAATATCAAATATAAATTTGATGTTAATACACTTGGAAATCTTGAAGAATCTAAGAAAATACAAAATGACAACACTGGATGAAAAAGTTGACAAACTGAGTATAACAATAAACATGGAAGAAATTGGGATAATTTTCAAATACCCTTCTCTATGAAATGCTGTAGATCCAAATAGTGTTCTGGGTGAATTCTTTCAAAAAAAATTCAAAGAAGTTCCACGGTATATAAACGGAAGCAGAGCATAGAAAAAAATGGAAAGTTTCCTTGTTACACTTGCAAAGCTCATACGACACTCAAAAACAAAACTACAATCTAATCTCAACCGTGCATGTGGATATAAAAAGTCCTAAACCATATTAGAAGGTCAAATCTAGAAGTACAGAGAAAAATTAATATGCCATGACCAGTTGGGCTTTGTTCTAGGATATCATGGATGGTTCATTATGGGAAATCTAATAATATTAAATTAATAGAGAAAGACTATATGAATACCACAAAACTTCCTTGAAGATATATTTTTAAAACACTTTTTATTTTGAAAGAATTATAGATTCACATACAGTTGTAAGAAAAAATATAGTCATATGGAAATAATATATCCAGTTTTCCCAGTGTAACATCTTACATAAATATAGTACAATATCATAACCAAGAAATTTATATTGATAAAATCTATCAACCTTATTCAGATTTCACCAGTTTTACATACACTCACTTATGTGTGTTTCGCTCTGTGCCATTTCATCACAAGTTTGGATTCACATGACTCCCACCACAGTCAAGATGCAGAACAGTTCCACCATAAGGATCCCTTATGCTATCTTTCATAGCCACAGCCATTTCCCATGGCAACCACTGATCTCTTCTCTATTTCTATGAGTTTGTCATTTCCTTTTCAAGAATGTTATGTAAATAGAATCATACAGTATGCAACCTTTCTGAGAGTGACTTTTTTTCACGCAGCATAATGCCCTGGACGTTTACCCAAGTTGTTGTATGTATCAATAGTTTGTCCCATTTTGTTGCTGAGCACTATTCCACGGTATGGATGTACCACAGTTCTTTTTTAACCATTCAGTTGTTGACGGCCGTATAACTTGTTTCTAGTTTAGGGTTATTATGAATAAAGCTGCTATGAAAATTTGTATTCAGATTTTTCTGTGAACATAAGTTTTTATTTGTCTTGGATAAATGGCCCAATTTATCCCAAAATGTTAAAAAAGAAAAAAAAAAGGAATGCTACTGCTGGGTCATATGGTATGCATATGTTTGGTTTTGTAATCAACTGCCATACTCATTTTCATTTTACATTCCCACTAGCTATACATGAGTTTTCCAGTTTCTCTGTCTCCTTGCTGGCATTTGGTGATATCGCTATTTTTCATTTTAGCCGTTCTTTTAGGTGTGTACTAATGTCTCCTGGTGGTTTTCATTTGCATTTCCCTAATGGCTAATGATACTGCACGTCTTTTCATGTGCTTATTTGCCATCTGTGTATCCTCTTCAGTGAAATGTCTATTCATGTCTTTTGCCCATTTTCTAATTGGATTGTTTGTTTGCAAATATTTTCTACCAGTCTGTAGTTTGTCTTTTCATATCTTAACACGGCTTTTGCAGAGCAAAAGTTTTGTTTCTGATGAAGTCCAATTTATCGACTTCCTCTTTTATGATTTGTGTTTTTGGTGTCATGTCCAAGAACTCTGTAAGTCTTAGATCCTGAAGACTTTCTCCTGCTTTTTTCTAAAAGTTTTACACTTTTACTACATTTGAATTTGAGATCCATTTGAGTTAATTTCTGCATAAAGTGGGGGAGTTAGGTAGAGGTCCATTTTTGTGCATACGGATGTCTAATTGCTGCAGCACTCTTTATTGAAAAAGCTCTCCTTCCTCTGTTGAATTGCTTTTATACTTTTGTCAAAAATCGATTGGGCATATTTGTGTGGGACTATTTCTGGGTTCTCTTTCCTGTTCTGCTCTCATGTGTCTCTCTCTCTGCCGATACCACACTGTCTTGAATTAGTATTTAGTGGGCCTCAATATCAGATAGAGTGAGACCTCCTACTTTATTCTCCTTAGGGATTGTTTTTAGCTATTTTAAGCCCTGTGCTTTTCCATATAATTTAAACTTGTTTATATCTGCAAAAATTGTTGCTGGAAATTCTGTTAAACCCATGGGCCAATTTGGGAAAAATTGATGTCTTTACTACGTTAAGTCTTTCAATCCATGAATGCAATATATCTCTTTATTTGGTTCGACCTACTTTGATTTCATTCATTAGCAGTGTGTAATTTCCAGCATAGAACCCTATCTATATTGTGTTAGATGTATAACTAAGTATTTCATTTTCTTTGGTTTAACTATAAATTATATTTTGTTTTTAGTTTTGGTTTCTACTGATCTGTTGCTAGTTTACAGAAATACAATTGATTGTTCTGTGTTGATCTTGTATCCTGCAATTTTACTGAAATCACTTTAGTAGTTTTAGGAGATATTTTTGTGATGTCTTGGGATTATCTATGAAGACATAAAGTTATAACGTCAACCACAAATAGCGAAAGATTTTTTCCTTTTAGATATGCATACTCCTTATTTCTTATTGCTCTGGTAGAACTTCCAGCACTACGTCAAATATGAGTGATGAAGGCAGACATTCTCCTTGTTCCTGATCTAAAGGGGAAGAATTCAGTCTTTTACCATTAAGTATTATGATAAACATACATTGTTTGTAGATTCCCTTTATCAAATTGTTGGAGTTTCCCTCTGTTCCTATTTATCTGAGCTTTTCATTATGAATGAGTATTGGAATTTGTCAAGTGATTTCTCTGCATTACTTGATATAATCATAACATTTTTCTTTTTAGCTTGTGGATATGGTGGATTACGTTAATTGATTTTCAAATGTTGAACCAGCCTTGCACACCTGGAAGAAATCCCACTTGTCCATAGTATGTAAGTCTTTCTACACATTTCTGGATTAAATTGGCTAATATTTTGTTGAGGATTTTTATGACTAAGTTCATGAGAGAGATGGGTCTGTACTTCCTTTTTTTTTTTTTTTGGTCCTCTTTTTGTCTAGCATTGATATCAGATATTGATACTAGTCTCACTGATACCAGTGAATTGCAAAGTGTTCCTTCCGCTTCTATTTTCTGAAAAGGATTGTGCAGAATTGATGTTACTTCTTTAAATGCTTGGTAGAATTCTCCAGTGAAATCATGTGGGCTTGGAGATTTTTTTTTGGAAGTTTTTTATCTACAAATTCAATTTCTTTAATGATTTGTGACTATTCAGATTGTCTCTTTCATCTTGGTTGAGTTTTGGTAGTTTGTGGTCTTGAGGAATTAGTTCATTCTTCTAAGTTGTTGACATTATGCACATAAAGTACGATATAGTATTCCCTTATTTGCCTTTTAATGGCTGAAGAATCTGTAGTAAGATCCTGTTTCGTTCCTGACATTGCTGATGTTTGTCTTTTCTCTTTTTATCTGTCAGTCTTGCTAGAGATTTATCACTTATTGACTTTTTTCCCCAAGAACCCACTTTTTGTTCCATTGATTTTATCTGTTGTTTTCGTCTTGATTTCATTGACTTCTGCTATTAACTTTATTATTTCTTTCTCTTTGCTTATTCTGTGTTTATTTTGCTCTTCATTTGCTAGTTTCTTGATTTAGAAACTTAGTTGTTTTTTTTTTTAAAGATTGGCTCCTGAGCTAACAGCTGCTATGAATCTTCTTTTTTTCTCCTTCTTCTTCTTCTTCTCTCCAAAGCCCCCATTACATAATTGTATATTCTAGTTGTGAGTGCCTCTAGTTGTGCTTTGTAGGATGCAACCTCAGCATGGCCTGATGAGTGGTGCCATGTCCACACCCAGGATCAGAACCTGAGAAACCCGGGGCCACCAAAGTGGAGCAGGAACTTAACCACTCTGCCTTGGGGCTGGCCCCAGAACTTAGATTATTAATTTGAGACCTTTCCTCTTTTCTAATGTGAGCCTTTAGTACAATGAATTTTCCTCTCAGTGCTGCTTTAGCTGTATTCCACATATCTTGATATATTGTATTTTCTCTTGGCTGAATTCTGTGTATTTTTTAATTTCCTTCCACACTTTCTCTTTTACCCATGGTTTATTTAGAAGCATGTTGTTTAATTTCCAAGTGTTTGGAGATTTTCCTGTCGTCTTTCCTAGTTCCATTACTTAATGGTCAGAGAACATACTCTGTGTGATTTTATTAAAAAAATATGTGTTAGATTTGTTTTATGGCCCAGGACATGATCTATCTTGTTGAATATTCTATGAGTTCTTGATATATTTTCCTTTTGGTTAATTGTGTTGTTCATTTCTTCTACATCCTTGTTGGTTTTCTGTGTAGTAGTTCTATCAATTACTGAGAGTAGAGTGTTGATGTCTCCAACTATAATTGCTGATTTCTCTGTTTCTCCTTTTAACTCTATCAGTTTTGCATCATGTATTTTGAAGCTTCATATGTAATTGGCACATACTCATTTTTAGGATCATTATGCCTTCTTTGTGGGTTGATCCTTTTATTATTATGTAATGCATTTCTTTGTCTCTAGTAATTGTCTTTCCTCTGAAGTCCACTTATTAGATTAATAATATAATAATAGTAGTCACTTTTGCTTTTTGAAAATTAATATTTGCATGGTACATCTTTTTCCATCCTTTTACTGTCAACCTATATATGTTGTATTTAAATTGAGTTTCTCATAAACAGCATGTTGTTGGATCTTTCTTTTTTAGATCCACTCTGCCAATTTCTTTCTTTTAATTGATATATTTAGATAATTTATTTTTAAGGTAATTATTGATAACATAGGCCTTAAGCTTGAAATTTTATTGGTTGTTTTCTCAGTTTTTTATTCCTCTGTTTCTTTTCTTGGCTTCCTGTGAGATACCTGTACATTTCTCAGGATTCCATCATGACTTATTTATAGTGTTTTGGGGTATACCCCGTCATATAATTTTCATAGTGGTTGCTCTATCAAAGTTTAAGTTTTAAAAATGTCATAGTAAAGTGAAATTGAAAAGCTACTCTTCTAAAACAATAAAAAAGCTCAAAATAATTAAAATCAGACATCACAGCAAAACACAAAAAGTGTCCCATTGAAGTCATGGCAATACAAGAAGGCATGTTATTATCATTAATATTGAACTTTTTCTAAAATTTCCAGCTAGTGCAATAAGATAAAAAATAAATGAAGTAGGTCATACCTGGAAAGGAAGGGTCAAGTTCATCTTTTTCTTCTTATATTCTGATCATCTGATTGACTGCCTAGAAAACCAATAAGAGAAATTCAAATTTTTGAATTGATATTTCAGTTATGTGACTAGCTATAAAATAAATATGTGGAAATAAATAGCCTTCTACAGCAAAAAAATCTAGTAGAAAATATTAAATTCACAAAAGAAAAAAATTCAAAACTAAATTTATGAATATGTTTATTTTTTTAAATCCTCAAAACTTTATTGACTTAAAATAAAATCCCAAAGAATGATGGGACAGACTATGATTCTGATTAAAAGACTAAATAATTGGAAATAATCTAATACTTCCAAAATCAAATAAAATACTTACTGTGATTTCAATGAAATTTGTAACCAGACAAAATTTTTCTACAGTAAGAAATGGGTGAGAATGGCTAAGAAAATAAAGAAAGGGGACTTAACCTACCTACCTCTTTAAGCGTATTAAAAAGTTGCGATAATTAGGGGCCAGCCTTGTGGCACAGTGTTTAAGTTCACACGTTCCACTTCAATGGCCCGGGGTTCACCAACTGGGATCCTGGGTGCAGACATATGCGCCGCTTGTCAAGCCATGCTGTGGTAGGCTTCCCGCATATAAAGTAGAGGAAGATGGGCACAGATGTTAGCTATGGCCCAGTTTTTGTCAGCAAAAAGAGGAGGATTGGCAGCAGATGTTAGCTCAGGGTTGATCTTTCTCAAAAAAAGAAAAAGTAGTAATAATTAAAACAATGTGATATGAGTCCTATAATAGCCGGGAAGATTAAAAGTATGGGAAAAACTCCAGAAATAAAACATAAAATGTATAAATACTTGGTATATCACAAAAGTTATTTCAAAACCATGGGAGAAGTGACCATTTAATTAAAAATTTCAAAACAGTTGATTTAAAATGGTGCAATATATTTTTAAGAAAATTTAATTTTCTTTGAATCTGAGAAAACATGGATCACCCCATTTTTTTTTTTCTCAAAAAGACTATCTAGAGGTTGTAAGTAACATTTTTCTTTTTAAAAAAATCCTCAGACATTTATCAATCTGCTTTTATCCTAGTAGATTCTTTCCCTTTTAATCCTGGTTTGTTTTGTTTTGCCCTTGTTTTTCTGACCTTAATCTGAGTGATTAACTTGTACTATTCCATTCTTTCTTGTTTAATAGCAAAAGCATTTTATCCTACAAATTTATGTCTAATTAAAACTGTGGCAACATTCCATATATTTTTATATGTGTGAGCTTTTATTGTAATTATTTATCAAATATTTCATAACCAGCATTCCTCCCGCCCCTTCGTTAAGCATTGTTTATGAGTCCTTTTATTTGTTAAAAATGATAAGATTTTATGAGTATTTGCTAATATATTTGGTATTAACTTCTAGTTTTATTGCACTGATGTCAGAGAATGTGTGAGAGAATTTGTGTTTTGTGGACTATATTGAGATTGGCTGGGTAAATAATATATTCAATTGTTTAAATAGACATTTAAAACATGTAGTGTAATTATGTATTTATTATATCACATCAAATTGGTTTCACAATTTATATCTTAAATATCCATTAATTTCTGCCTATTACCTGTTAAGCACTCAAAAAAGTATGTCGAGATCTCACACGTTGTTGATTTTCTGTCAGGTGCCCTTTGTGTTTTCAACAGTCTTTATTTCTATAGTTTGATGCCATGTAATTCTGTATATAAACTTTCATGAGCATTATCTTCTTTCATGATTGTATTCTTGATTTTTGAAAGAAAGAAAATGCCCCTCTTGGTTTCATGATATGCTTTTTGCCTTCAAATATGCTTTGTCTGATGTTAGTAGAGAATGTTAAATCACTTTCATCTATTATCATTAAGTGATATGCTTGGTCCCTTTTTGTTATTATGATATTTTGTTTTTATTTACTTTTTTCTTTTCTTTGTCTCTTTTTGGCAATGTGAACTATGACCTATTCGATCAACTTTCTTTTAGTAATTTTGAAGTTATAGATCTTGTTTTAATTGTACTACTTCATGCCTTTGAGACACATTTCTGGCCTTGGAGTCCTGCTATTTGACTTCTTCAAGCATCAAGGAATGCCTGTCAAACCGTCTGCTCTGCTGTTTGATACAGCCATGCCTGACCTCCATTTTAGACAGTTATTCAAAGCTGGAAAACAGATTCTGAGTAGCGCACTCCTTTTTGACCTGCTCTTGCCCCTCCAAACTGGTACAATTAGGTTTCTTACAGAATCTCTGTTTCTATCTTACTGAAGCACACTTCTTTCCGTAGAAGGAAAAGTGAGAGTTTTCTCTTGGTGTCTTCTTTGAATCCAGCCCAGCTGCACAATATCTAACTTGAATTTCTAAAAGTTTCTGTAATACCGCCTTAATTTTCAGCACTGATTTCCTTCCCAGCCCACCTCCTATTTTTATATTCCTTTGCTCATTTTAATTGGAATCTGTGGAGCAAGAGTTAGTGCTTGTGCTCAAGGTGGCTCTTACCTAGACAAAACTGATTCTTGAGGCCGCATGTGGATATATTGAGGAAGAATGCGAACTGAAAGAGTTTACAGATGGTGTAGCTCATTTTGAGCTGTTAAAAAATTTTAAATTTCTCATATTCTGAACATTTTTTTTAGAAATATATATCTCAATATATATTATTAACATAAGAACAACCTAAGAATACAGATTTAGCATCCTAACTGTAGATAT